GTTGGGCCACTCCGTGCATCCTGTCGCACGGCCAGGCGGGTGTCTCTTGACGCTGGCTGCACCACACGGCAACCCGAAGGGTTGTCCTCCGGCAGGGAGGCTAAGGATTCACCTTGGCGTTTGAACGGGAATTGACCATAAAAAGCCCAGACACAAAGCAGCCTCATCTCCGTATCCAGTCGGCGGTGCGTGCGCAGATCACTGGAAAACACACACCTGCCGCCCACGTGCCGCACTGCAGAGCTCTGCAAAGACTTGCCTCTCCCCGGAGCTTTCTCGGGTTGTCCTCCGGCAGGGAGGCTAAGGATTCACCTTGGCGTTTGAACGGGAATTGACCATAAAAAGCCCAGACACAAAGCAGCCTCATCTCCGTATCCAGTCGGCGGTGCGTGCGCAGATCACTGGAAAACACACACCTGCCGCCCACGTGCCGCACTGCAGAGCTCTGCAAAGACTTGCCTCTCCCCGGAGCTTTCTCGATGGGAAATGCACCGGCAGAAACGCGGCCCATAAGGCGCTCGCGCCCCTCTCCGTAGAACTGTCTGTGCCCCCCGCCCCCGCCCCAGAGCCCGCCTCCTAGAATGTCCGAGGGGCCCTGGAGAGGCACCTTCAGCTCAGGCTGGGGCTGGATTGGATGCCTGGCTGTGACGCTACCCAGATAAACAACCTCCCTGGGCTGAATGGGGCTCCTGAGGGGTGTGTGTGCAGGATCGCAGCCCTGGCTAAATGTGAGGGCTTGCCATGTGCACCCGTATTAACACCAGTGGTATTTATCATTTGCTCTGCAATAGCACTTAGAAGCCCCAGGATCCCATTGTGCTAGGGGCTGTACATTTTTATTGCTATTAGGTGTATTATGGTAGCATCTAGAAGCCCCAGTGACGAATCGGGATACCACCGTGCTATGCGCTGTACATTTTTATTGCTATTAGGTGTATTATGGTAGTGCCTACAAGCCCCAGGAATGAACCAGGATCCCATTGTGTTAGGCGCTGTACAAACAGACCAAAAAGACGGTCTCTGTCCCCCAAAACTTACAGTCAAAGGACAAGGCCAAAGACCCAAAGGTTTGCATTTGGGAGTGACGGGGCAGAATAAAGGAGATTCAAAGGGAGGTAGGGGGAGGAGGAGGAAGAGGGACCATCGTAATTAAGATGCATCAGGTGATTGTTAATTGGTGTTATTTGTCTTCCCACAAAATCAAGGCACAGGGTCCCTTTGTGCTAGGTGCAGGACAAACATCAGAGAAAGGTTATTTGCCCAGAAGTGCCTGCAGCAGCTCCGAAAAGAACGAGGCAAAGAACCAATTAACTCTTCGCGTGGCAGCGGATTAAAGAACGGAGGTTAAAAATGCCTCCCCCGTGCACCCGCAGCGTACGTGGAACAGGAGGGGAAGAGCTGGCAACACACACAGAGCAGCTGGCGGAGAAGAAAAAAGTGAAGCAGGTTAGCTCTAGCCAAAGGGGTTCCTGGGAGCATGAAGGTCATTCACAACCGGCAGGGAAAATCAAGGGTCTGGGCAGAATAGGGAGCCGCAGATACAGGAGGAGGAGGGTGAAATTAACGACTCGAACCTGGCTAAGACGCTGAGCCCTTTTTCTAAATCAGGTAAGGAAATACTTGGGAAATGGGACATCTGGCCCAGCTGTTTTGCATCTACCTGAGCAGCCACTGGACAGTTACTGGGGGAATGGTGGGTGACAGGGACCAGGAGCCAGGAAAATCCAACATAGCATGGCCGTTCAGACAATGGAAGAAGAAAGCCCTAGACAGCTGCTGCCTCCGGGGTCGACACTGATCCTCAACAACTCGACTGCACAAAGAAGCGCAGCGACAACAGGTCCTGAGCACGCTGGCTAAACGGAGCGGTGAACCACAAGAGGCAAGGCGGGGCATAAATCAAACCCAACAGCCTTGATTGCTTTTTTTTTGGCGGGGGAGGGTAGAATTACAAATTGATCAGAGGGCGGGAATGCAGCCGACGGAACTACTGGGAATTTAATCAAACATTTTATACCTTGGCTCATGAGCTCTTGAAAAATTAATGTAAGCTGGCAGGGATCTGAACACAGTTGCATGGATGGAAAATTGGCTGGAAGGCCATAAACAAAGTGTAATGATATATGGCGATGTCACAAATTAAGGGGGGATGAGAAAGTAGGGTACAGGAGCAGCTGATGTTCCATCTTATGTGACGTCTCCATTAGTGATGTGGAAGAGAGCGCGGATGTCACATCAGTTAAATCCAGGAGATGATCCTAAGTGAGAGGCACGGTGACATCCATAAGGACAAAGAAAAGTAGCACACAAGAACCTCCCAGCGTATGTCCTCGGCTAGTGTAAATCAGCAGAGTTCATCTGAAGTCAAAACAGTCACTCTGATTTACACCAGCTGGGATCGGGTCCCCGGAGAGGTTGAGATAAGGACAGAACACACAGGGGAACACATCTGGGGGAAAAATAATCGGAAGGGCACGTCTGTGTTAGGAGGGTGAAATCTGGAACCAACTGAAGCAGCCATCCGGTGAGGAGGGGAACGCAGGACAGAGCTGAGCTTAGACTAAGGGGGGATAGGACAGAGGTCTAGAAAATCATGCCTGACGTGGAAAAAGTGAATAAGGAGAAGTTATTTACTTATTCCCACAATATAAGAACTAGGGGTCGCAAAATGAAATGAATAGGCAGTAGGTTTAAAACAAACAAAAGGAAGTTTTTCTTCACTCAGCTCACAGTCAACCTGTGGAACTCCTTGCCAGAGGATGTGGTGAAGACTAGGACTTTAACAGAGTTCAGAAAAGAGCTAGCTAGATTCATGGAGGTTAGGTCCATCAATGGCTATTAGGATGGGTAGGGATGGTGTTCCTTGCCTCTGTTTTTCCGGAAATGGATGACAGGAGAGGAATCACATGATGATGATAGCTTGCCTGAGTACAGCACCCCCAACCCCAGCGGCTGGCCCTATGCACGGCGACATCTCATTTCAGCTCAGCGACCTCGTGGCAGCTGGTGGCCCATTTTTTGCTTGCATCTGTATTGCAATGACAACTGCCTTTCGGAAGTTCCTTGCCTCTGTTTTTCCGGAAATGGATGACAGGAGAGGAATCACATGATGATGATAGCTTGCCTGAGTACAGCACCCCCAACCCCAGCGGCTGGCCCTATGCACGGCGACATCTCATTTCAGCTCAGCGACCTCGTGGCAGCTGGTGGCCCATTTTTTGCTTGCATCTGTATTGCAATGACAACTGCCTTTCGGAAGAAATGAACCAAGAACATTTCTAGCGTTGGCCATCCCCCCCCCCCC